TGTTAGAGACCTGGAGATATCAGATGTCATTGTTTTCCTCTGAATGTTGAAAAAAGAAGAGTCTGATCAGTACACCTTAAATTCCTTTTTGAGAGGAAATGTAAAACAATAAGAAAAAAATATCTCAAAAATTCTATGTAAATCTTAGAAATAGAGAGAGTAGGGTGAAGGATAAAGTAAACTTTTGTTTAAAAAAAAGAGAGATAGAAGGATAAAAAAGTTTCTATTTGATAAAAAAAAATGATAGAAAGAGAGAAGAAATATAGAATATCTGACATTAAAAAAAAGAAAGACAGGAGAATAATAAAAACTTGTCCACTTAAAAAAAGAAATAAGAGAAAGAGAGAAGAAAGATAGGATACATAACATTAAAAACAGGAAAGACAGAAGAATAAAGAAAACTTTTCTTTTTCATTAATTAAAAAATAAGAGAAAGAGAGAAGAAAGATAGAATACCTAACAAGTAAAAAAAAAAAAAGGATTAAAAAATATTTTTAATTCTAAGAATGATAGCTTTTAAAAAAAATGATAAAAATAGTATAATGGATAATTTCTGTGTATATTCCATGCTTGCAGAGTTTCACATATATCGGGGGAATTTATTTTTAAAATCAAGTAGCAAAATAAAAGAAATGCTTTTTAGATATTATTGACGATGCAGAAAAATAATTACAAGGAGAATACATCCAGTCCACAAGGGATGTTTGGACTTCTATGGCACCTGATCCCAGCTCTAATATTTCCAGGTCTATATTTCCTCTGCATTCCTTAAGGGAATTTTTGTTTACTGTTCGTTATCTTCTTATTTTGTAGCAAACAATTGGATACACAGAAATTATCCATTATAAAATTGAACTAAAAAAATTATGTAAAGTGTTTTCTCTATGCTAAATTTGATAAATTGGGCCAACTTTCTTTGCATTTAAAAGAATTCAGACTTCCCAGAGTTTATAGCTATCACTCAAAAAATATTATGAATGTTAAGAGAGGCTATTGCCTGCCAGATATCTCCTATAAAACTTATTCCTCTGAATGTAAATAGAGAGGAATAGGGCTGATCATTCCTTTGTATTAAACATCCCTGAAGGGAAAACAGCTACTCACATTATATAAAAAAAGTACACATTCAATTACTTCATAACAATGTGATAAAGAGAGGAAGAAGAAGAGAAATTTGAAAATATAAAATATCAAAAATGAATGTTAGAGACTTGTAGATATCAGATGTCATTGTTTTCCTCTGAATGTTGAAAAAGGAGTAAGAGACTGATCAGTGCTCTTTCAAAAATCTTCATTGAATGGAAATATAAAACAATAGAAAAAATGTAATTAACAAGGAAACACTTAAGTAAATCTAATGAGAAAATCAAAAGAAAAGAGAAGGATAAGGACTTATTTTCTTAAATTTTTTTTTCGAAAAAAAATAACAGATTTTATGAGGACTGGCAGCTTTTTTTTTCAAACTTCTCAGTGGTTATAGCTATCAATCAACCAAAAAATATAAATGGCATATTAAGAGAGGATATAGCCTGCCAGATATCTCCTACAAACTTATTCCTCTGAGTGTAAACAGAGAGCAAAAAAACTATTAAAGAAGCTTTGCTGTAGTAGGAATACAATTGTAAATGCAGAAAAAAATAACAATGTAGGCATGTTCAATTTCATAAAAAGGTCATTTTGAGATTATGCATTTAAAAAAAAAATGAAATCAAAGTAAAACATTATATCAGGATGATCTCTTCTATTTGTGGGGTAGTCAAATATTTCTAAATTTAAATCAATATGAAAGTAGAAAATGGCATAGATGAAGGTTTTGGTCCTGGAGATATCCCCCGTTCTCTTATTACCGGGTACGTCATGTTTCAAGTAGAGGAACCGATCAGTAAAATTTAATGGAAGAATGAAACAATTACTGGGTTAAAAAACATAAAAAACCAGAAGTCTCTGTCGAGACTGAAGCTCTACTGGTTTGTACTTATAGCAAAGGAAGAGAAAAGTACTTAAGCAGTTGGAAATTAATAGAATAATCATCCTTGATTAAGTCTCTTTATGTTCTTAGTGCAGTCTACTTGCATGCCACATTTATATTATAATCAGACTAAAATTGTATTTGGAGTAGCATTTTGAAAGAATTTCACAGAAATGTCTATTTTTAGTAACCACGGCAACACCGTTCATCAAAATCAAAAACCGATATACAGAATTATGTATCTTATTGTAGTCTACTTGTGTGCCAAGTTATATTGAAATCAGACTAAAACTGTAGAAGGAGTAGCATTTTGAAAGAATTTCACAGAAATTTCTATTTTTAGTAACCACGGCAACACCGTTCATCGAAATCAAAAACTGATACACAGAATTGTGTATCTTAGTGTAGTCTACTTGTGTGCCAAGTTATATTGAAATCAGACTAAAACTGTAGGAGGAGTAGCATTTTGAAAGAATTTCACAGAAATTTCTATTTTTAGTAACCACGGCAACACCGTTCATCATAATCAAAAACCGATACACAGAATTGTGTATCTTAGTGTAGTCTACTTGTGTGCCAAGTTATATTGAAATCAGACTAAAACTGTAGAAGGAGTAGCATTTTGAACAGAATTTCACAGAAATTTCTATTTTTAGTAACCATGGCAACACCGTTCATCGAAATCAAAAACTGATACACAGAATTATGTATCTTATTGTAGTCTACTTGTGTGCCAAGTTATATTGAAATCAGAAGTAGAAGGAGTAGCATTTTGAAAGAATTTCACAGAAATTTCTATTTTTAGTAACCACAGCAACACCGTTCATCATAATCAAAAACCGATACACAGAATTGTGTATCTTAGTGTAGTCTACTTGTGTGCCAAGTTATATTGAAATCAGACTAAAACTGTAGGAGGAGTAGCATTTTGAAAGAATTGGTCATCAGGCATTCACAGAAATTTCTATTTTTAGTAACCACGGCAACACCGTTCATCATAATCAAAAACCGATACACAGAATTGTGTATCTTAGTGTAGTCTACTTGTGTGCCAAGTTATATTGAAATCAGACCAAAACTGTAGGAGGAGTAGCATTTTGAAAAATTGTTTACAGACAGACAGACGGACAGCTAGACAGACAGACGGACGGACGACGGACGCATTACTATCGCATAAGCTCTTCTGGTCTCTGACCAGTAGAGCTAAAAACTAATTCAGATTTTAGAAAAAAAAAAACTCACAGAAAAAATTCTAATGAAATAAACTTAAAAAAAGGGGAGAGAAACATTATTGAAAAAAAAATAAATTAGGAAGTTAATATAATTAATAATTACATTTACAAAAAAAAAGGAAAAGGGTATCTAACAAAAAAAGTACTGTTTGTTGAACATATTCTCTCTTTATTGTGTTCAAGAGAATTTGGCATGTTTGATTATTTCTTTTAAATATCAAAGTAGTATAACTTTTAAAATAGAAATAAAAATGCAGAAAAAACCATAGCAATTTGTTTATTGACGTTTTTAGAAAAAATTTCTTTTTCACTGAAGAAAAAAACGTTATATTTTTACTTGTTATTATAGAGAAAAAATATATATTTCAAAGGAAATCATCTAGGTAATATTTAGACAAAACAGACTAAAATACCTCCCTCTTAAGTTTATAACTTTAATTCATGTAAAAATAAAATGTTCAAAGAAAAGAAAAGAAAAACACAAAGATAAATTAAACTTTATAAGTGACTGTGTAAAAATAATCTTCCTTCAGTTCTAAATAAAAAGATATTAAATGCCTTCATATGACACCTGCTTAAAACATTAACATCTCAATAATATGTAAAATTCAAAAAAAATTTTAATAAAAAATTTTAAAAATAAAAAAAAATCTAAGAAATTACATTCTAAAGAGAGTTCAGTTTTCTGATATTGTGGTTGGACTTATAAAAAAATCATTTCACTCTGATATGATTCTTACAATACAGGTTTTCTCAGTTCCGATAACAGCAAATTTGGGTACCTTAAGTTAATAGTTGATCATGTCTTATTTTTGTCGTTCTTTAATGAATGATTCCAATAAAAGTTGTAAAAGTAAATTAAACATCTAAATTTTTTCACAACACTTTCCCATTATCTGTATAAAATGTGTCAGCTTAAACAGCTATGGCAAGAATCTTTAAAAAAGTGAAGCCAGGCCTCTCTTATCTCAAAAGTTAGTGCATGCATGATCTTTGTACCTCAGTCATTCGTCCTGTGTTGCGCTGTCAGGGGATTCTTAAATCTCAGTGAGGAATGTCACATATAGGCATGAAGAACAAATTTATGATTCTTCTTAACATATTGTAATTGTTGCTCTCACTAAATTCCATGATTTTAGTTTTTCCAGTCAGAAGAAAAGTCACATTGTGTACATTTCCCTAGTTCTCTGACTTCTGTTGGCTCCTATGATGATTTATCCCCTTCCCTTGATAGGTGTCCAGGATCCCCTTCTCTTGATAGATGTCCAATAAAGTTCATTTCTGATAATGTTCTGTTTATGAATTAAAAAATAAGGTAAGACTCTGGTTAACTAAAAGCACAAAAAAATAAGTCAAAAGAATGTTAACTATAGGAAGTAGTCGATACCTAATTGGTCCTATTCAGTGGGAATAGTTTAACTGTTAAGGTTACTATTGGCTGTTTTCATTTGGTAATACGTAAAATAAAAGTTTAGATGTCAGAGTAACTACACCCAAAAACACGCTGTGTGCTAAAGCACAAAGACTAACATCCCCTCCTCCCCCCCCCCCCAACAAAACCCATGACAACCATTTACCTAGTCAGAGCAAGCAATCTCTCAGAAGTGAAACATACTGCAGGTTTCTTGTTTGTTAAAGGTATCTTTTGGTAAATCCATCAAGCTTCTATCTAGATGCAGCAAACTTGTCCTTCTCTTCAATTGGGGTGTTGATATTTTTCCTATGTTTAAACATTTTAAGAATGTATTTCCCCAATGCTTTAAATTGTAAGGATCATACCCAATTTATTGTTAAGACCTTACATTGGTCATCAGGCATCAAGCATCTTCTTCCTATCATTTTAAAATACAAGGTCAATTAGCTGCCTCTAGCTCATGTTAAAAATGATAGTTCAAAATCGCAACAATTAAACATTTTCTCACCTCCATATTCTGCATGCACAATAAGATTGGATTTTTCCTGGTTCTTTGCATCGATTGCCATCCTACTTCCATGAATGGGAGAGGAAAAGGGGGAGGCTCACTGTTCCTGATTAGGCTAACTGTCATTCTTTACTTTTTAAGATCATCTTATTCATTGTTGCTCATTGGTTGTCCACCAAATCAATTTAATTTGCCATGGTTGCATCTGGCCTCTGGGGGCTCTGTAAGAGAATGCATTTTCTACTGTAGGTGGATAACCTAGCTCCCATGTCCCTTGCTCTCAATGTTCGATAAATATATAAATAAAATTGAGGACAGTTTCAAGATGAACCCATGCACCCCCTTACCATAAGCCAAATGAAGAAAAATTAATAAAAAAGGAAGAAAGGTAAGTTATCCAGATCTTAACCCTCACATTCCCTATACACAACAGATGCCAAATTTGAATAGTTTCCCATCAGGTTATGATTTCATTAATAAGTGAAATTTTCTTTCAACCTTCAATATAGAAAGTAAGATGACAGTGCAATGGGTAATCCTCCTCCCTTATGGAAAAAGTAGCAGTATATATGTTCCGCTATGGGAAACCCTATTTTTATGTCCTTTCAAAAAAATAAAAGAGCACAATAAGTACCCCCTAGTTTTACGGTTATATACAGAAAGACCTATGAAAGAACAGACAATCCGATCACTTTATATACCACCCATTTATAAAGAAGTTCATGAGCTAAGGGAGAGATTTTGCTAACAGGAACAATCTCTTTACCAAATACATGAAAACCCAAATATGTACCTGGTCTGAGCAAACACTCTCTTGAATATGTGTTGGTAGGTCCATCAAGGTTCCATCTGGGTCCATCAAGGTTCCGTCCGGATCCATAAAGGATCCATCTGGGTCCATCAAGGCTCCGTCTGGGTACATCAAGGCTCCTTCTGGGTCCATCAAGGCTCCGTCTGGGTCCATCAAGGCTCTGTCTGGGTCCATCAAGGCTCCATCTGGGTCCATTAAGGCTTCATTTGGGTTCATCAAGGTTCCATCTGGGTTCATCAAGTTTCCGTCTGGGTCCATCAAGGTTCCATCTAGGCCCATCAAGGTTCCATCTGGGTCCATCAAGGTACCATCTAGGTTCAGCAGAAGTTAAAGGTAAAATGGAAAATAATCTTTCAGATACATTCCTTTTTTCCAAATTCAAGACAAACTAAACATGTACCTGCTCAGAGCAAAATATGTCTGAATATCCGTTGGTAGGTCCATCAATGTTCCACTGGGTGCAGCAAACTTGTCATCCTCTTCAGACAGAGTAAACCGTCTTCAGATGGAGTAATTGGATAGTCTCCGGGCTTCAAGCATCTTCTTCCTATTGTTTTAAGACACAAATTAACATTGCTGTCTCTGGCTTATGGAAATCAAAAAAATTCAAGAAGTCAGTAACTAGAAAATTCTCATTTCTTACTAATATTTTACATGCATATCAAGATTAACATACCTGTGGATCTATACATTAGCTGACTGTCAACTTCTCGTACACTCTGTTGACATCCCAAGAGAGGATTGTCCACAGAATCACTCATTATGCTTTTGCTATCAAATAGAAACTAAAAAACTGGTGAGCAGGAGAAAATTAATGTTAATTACTATAAATCAAATGCAGAAAATTTTAATTTGTATAGAAAGGAAATAAAACATAAGATCTTACTGTTTTGCAATCATGTTAGCTAGTCTTAGAAAATGGAAATTAAAAACCTGGCCCCAAACAGTTCTTTAAAAACCCAACTTCTGTAGGCTCTGTTAGCTTATGGATCCATTTGTTCTTGATGTTAAGTCACCTAAGTTCCATTCTTTTAATGATGTATCTATAATTCAAAAATAACTAAATAAATTTCAGTATTTAACCCCCCTACTTGGAAAAAAAGAAGTGTCACTACAGCATGTTATCCATACCTGAATTTTTAATCCCCTTTACAACATTTGGTAAGACTATAATGCTCCCATTGCCTGCGAGTTGCTTCTTTCTTCCAATCATTTTCTTCTTTCTCTGTTGTCTTCTTCTTTCTCTCTGTTGTCTTCTTCTTTCTCTCAGCTGTCATCTTCTTTCTTTCTGTTTCCTTTTTTCTTCTGGTTATCTTCTTTTTTTTCTTCTAACATCTTCCACTTGTCTTCTCTCTCAATCCAGTTTTTTTTCTGTCTTCTTTTTCCTTCCAGCTATCTTCTTTCTTCATTCAGGATGTGTTCTTTCTTCATTCTAGTTGTATTCTTCTTTATAACAGTTGTCTTCTTTCTTCATAACAATGGTCTTCCTTCTTCAATTCAATTGTTTTCTTGCTGTGCCAAAGAAACTAACATATGATTAGTAAGCAGTCGAAAAAACAAAAGAACCTGAGAGAAAGGACTTGGTTTGCGTGAGAGCAGAGGAGGTAATTGGGTAGAAACTTGCCCCATTGATGGAAAGCTGTGGGTTGGCCATGGCAAATACACATCAATTACATACATATAGCAACCTACCACTTCTCTGCCCCATTCTCAGCATAACATAAGGCAATGTTGCATGTCTTTCCAAAAGATCTTAAAAACTGAGGTACATCAACCATACAGGGCAGTCTTGGTACACCAAAAAACACGAAATAGTTGAAGACCGAATACTGAGAAAACGTTTTAATTTGAAGCGCTTCACGGTATCTGGGGACGTCCCCAAGGAGAAATAATTCTACATGCATGGAAGTAAAACAACAAACAAACAAAAGCAAGAGGGGATTAGTATATATGTTTTTTTTCAATACGTAATAAATTACTTTAACTTGTTAATATAAACAGGGAATAATAATGGAAGAAAAGGAAATGGAAATACCTGCCTAATTCATGTTTTATTTAAACCATTCACTTAGGATTAATACTACCAGTGATACCAATCCTTGGTAAGAGCCACTTGGTTGCTGTTCCTTGTCTATGGCAGTCATCCTCCTCTCTTCTTTTTCCATCAAAATTCATGCAGACGAACTTCACGATGATTGTGGCCAAAACATGTGCAGCAGCTGCTGTCCACAGGAAAAAATGACATGCTGTCAGAGTTCTTAAGATTCAATCAAAAATGAAATTAAGTCATGGTTAATATGAGATGAATAATTTCATTCTGTAAATTGTAAACCATGTAACTACAAATTTAGGAAATGGGGTTCATTTGTAAGGCACAATCTCTCCTTGAAGTTGTATTCAAAAGAAGAAAAACAAAGTCAACACCTTTGTAATTGAATCATGTTCTACTGCCTCAAAGAAAATTAAAGTACCTATTCTAAGTCAAAGGTTCTTGTTGGGCTGTTCATCCTCTGAAGAAGCCTCGCAGTCACAGTCTTCTCTCTGCTAGTTGTTTTCTCTTTTCTAGTTGTCTTCTGCTTTCTCCAAGTTGTCTTGTTTACTCTTCCAGTTGTTTTCTTCTTTCTTCAAGTTTTCCTTTTTCTTCCAGTTGTCTTTTTCTTTCTTCCATTTGTCCTCTTCTTTCTGTTGGACGGCAATTGCATATTGTCATATATAGTGTTGTCGGTATGATCAGGGAGAATCATATAAACGGAACTCGAATATTTACCTTGTTTTCAATATTTTATCTTTAGTCATGTGAAAACCTAATACCCCTTCTTGGTTCAAAGTTCTTGGTTGCCAATTCCTGTCTTAATGATGATTTTTGAGTTCTTATAATTAAAACATACAAACAACACTATGGGAGTCAATGAAGTCTGACATGTCTGATATTTCTTTCATAAAGAAATTGTACATCCTTACCTAAAAAGTTGTTTTATTACAGCTTTACACCTGGATAAATACTAAAACCAAGGCTCTTGATGGGCAGTTCATTTTCCTGTGGATGGCTTGTCTTCTTTCTACCAATCATGGCCCTCTTTTTTCTTGTAAGGCATCTCGACAAAAATTAACATATGATTAGTAAACAGTCATAAAAATTCAAACAAAACATACAGACATGAGGGAAGGGGAGGGTGTGCAAGAGGGGGTTAGTACCATGTTAGCTTTATCCACAGATTAGAAGGAATTCCTGAAGGGAATAATGTTGCATTCAATGAAAAACTGTCAAGTCCTCACCTAGATTAGGGCCACCTTTTTTACAATGTTACCTCAGAATAAATGCAGTTACCCATCCTAGGTCAGGGGTTCTTGATGTCTGGAATTAACCTTCCCGATGATGGCTTGTCTCTTCTCTTCCGATTATCTTCTCTTTTCCTGTTGGGTAGCAACTGCATGCTGTCCAGTAGAAATGTACATAGGGTTATATGTTATAAACAGACCAAGGAAAACCAGAAGTCTCTGTCGAGACTGTAGCTCTACTGGTTTGTACTTATCAAAAACCATTGCACTATTTTATATATCTTTGTGTAGTCTACTTGTGTGCCAACTTATTTTGTAATCAAACAAAAACTGTAGAAGGAGTAACATTTAAATGGAATTTCACAGGAAATTCTATTTTTAGTAACCATGGCAACACCGTTCATCGAAATCTAAAAACGATGCACTATTCTATGTATCTTAGTGTAGTCTACTTGTGTGCCAAGTTATATTGAAATCAGATCAAAACTGTAGAAGGAGTAGCATTTTTAAGGAATTTCACAGAAAATTCTATTTTTAGTAACCATGGCAACACTGTTCATCGAAATTAAAAACCGATCCACTATTCTATGTATCTTAGTGTATTCTACTTGTGTGCCAAGTAGTATTGAAATCAGACCAAAACTGTAGAAGGAGTAGTGTTTTAAAGGAATTTCACAGAGAATTCTATTTTTAGTAACCATGGCAACACCGTTCATTGAACTCAAAAACCATTGCACTATTCTATGTATCTTAGTGTAGTCTACCTGTGTGCCAAGTTATATTGAAATCAGACCAAAACTGTAGAAGGAGTAGCGTTTTAAAGAAATTTCACAGAAAATTCTATTTTTAGTAACCATGGCAACACCGTTCATCGAAATCAAAAACCGATGCACTATTCTATGTATCTTAGTGTAGTCTACTTGTGTGCCAAGTTATATTGAAATCAGACTAAAATTGTAGGAGGAGTAGCATTTAGAAAAATTGTTTACAGACAGACAGACAGACAGACAGACGGACGGACGCCGGACGCATTACTATCGCATAAGCTCTTCTGGTCTCTGACCAGTAGAGCTAAAAACCAGAAATCTCAGAATTTCAGGGAGTTTATACCAGTAACTACATGTTGCCTTATGAGTAATAACATGAACTTATGATGCTTTCATAAAAAAATTGTAAACCTTACCTGACTAATTGTCTCAATACAACAAGACTCTTATGTGAAATTAATTTTCTTGTCAATGGTTTGTCTTCTTTCTTCAAACCATCTGCTTCCTTCTTCCTGTTGGGCATCAACTGCCTGTTGTCCGACAAAAATTAACATAGGATTATTAAACAGTCACAAAAATAAAACAAAACATACTAACATGAGGGAGGGGGTATGAAAGAGGGGGTTAGTACCATGTTAACTTTATCCATATGATAGCAAGGAATACAATTCCTGAAGGAAAAGACATTGAATTCATTAAGAAATACAGTGAAGTCCTCACCTGAATTGGGACCATCTGTGATCTTTCTATACTGTTACCTCCAAATATACACAAATTGTTACCATGTCTAGGGCTCTTGATCTATGGGTTAACCTTCCTGGTGATGGCTTGTCTTCCTTATTTCCACTGCATCATCTTGTCTAGCTGTGCAACAATTGCATGCTGTCCAGTAGAAAAATTATTTATGGTTAATAAACAGAACAAAAAAAATTACAAGAAATATCTCAAGGTTTTGGGGAAGGGAAGGTGTGTGCAAGAGGGGGTTAGTCAATGTTAGTGATGCTTTAATAACTACTGAGAAATGAAACAATAGTACTCACCTAGCTTGCGGGTTTTATTTTATCTCAGAAAAATAAAGTACCTATCCTTAGTTTTGTGTTGCTGTACATCCCCTTATGTGGGCTTCAGTTACCAGGCATTTGCAGTGATTGGTCTCATGTCAATGGTGGTCTTGAACCCCTGCACTTCATCTGGACAATGTGATGAGTTTCTTCAGTCTTCAGACTGAGCCCCGTCATTGCGAATATTTCTCGCCGCGAACCAGTTCTTAAAGTCTATGTGCCTCATAACAACAGATCCAAAATAGGCTTGATCGCAAAAATTAATCATCGCAAACTAGTTAATCCCCGGTAAATCGTGAAATAAAGTCGTCGCGAATAAAAGTTGGTTTACAGTAACTACGTTGTCTGATGAATAATAACATGAACTTATGATGCTTTCATAAAGAAATTGTAAACCTTACCTGACTAATTGTCTCAATACAACAAGACTCTTATGTGAAGTTAATTTTCTTGTCAATGGTTTGTTGTCTTTCTTCAAATCAGCTGCATCCTTCTTCCTGTTGGGCATCAACTGCCTGCTGTCCAACAAAAATCAACATATGATTATTAAACAGTCATAAAAATAAAACAAAACATACTGGCATGAGGGAAGGGGGTGTGCAAGAGGGGGTTAGTACCATGTTAAGTTTATCCATATGATATGGAGGAATTCCTGAAGGAAAAGACATTGAATTCATTAAGAAATACAGTAAAATCCTCACCTGAATTGGGACCATCTTTTATACTGTTACCCCAAAATATGCACAAGTTGTTACCAGGTCTAGGGCTCTTTATCTATGGATTAACCTTCCTGGTGATGGCTTGTCTTCTTTATTCCACTGAATCATCTCGTATAGCTGTGCAACAGTTGCATGCATGCTGTCCAGTATAAAAATTACTTATGGTTAATAAACAAAGCAAAGAAAAAAAAACAAGAAATATCTCAAGGTTTTGGGGAAGGGAAGGTGTGTGCAAGAGGGAGTTAGTCAATGTTAGTGATGCTTTAATAACTATACTGAGAAATGAAACAAAAGTACTCACCTAGCTTGAAGGTTTTATTTTTATCAGAAAAAAGTACCTATCCTTAGTTTTGAGTTGCTGTACATCACCTTATGTGGGCTTCAGATACCAGGCATTTGCAGTGTTTGTCTCATGTCAATGGTGGTTTTGAAGCCCTGCACCTCATTTGGACAATGTGATGAGTTTCTGCAAGTCCTTATGTCTGAAGACAACATGAATGTAATGCTAATATCAATTCAGGAAAAAATATAAGTATACATGGTAATCAGAAATGCAGAGCTCTTGTCAAGCAATGTTGTCGTTAAGTTATTTAGTCACACATACACTTAACTAATAACCTAGTAGCTTGCATCCCTTAGATGCAACTACATTAATGCAATAATGGCCTGATAGAATATTCAGTTACTTGGGAATGGACTTTTTTGGATACTTGAAACTAGTCACTCATCCAAAGATATATCAAGTAAAAGTGAAATAAGGGTAAAGTATTATTGCGATAATTAAAGGTGCTGGCTGAAAAAAGTCGGAACCTAACACCCCTCCCCCCACCCCGACGCAACTTCCCCCCTTTCCAATTTGAAAAAGAAATCTTCCTGTTTTTTTTTTTTTTTTGCTTGTCAACTTTTTCTCAGGTAAGTAAATAAAATTCTCTAACTGGACCCCCATTTTCAAAAAGGACACCACTACATCACTGTAAAATATTAAAACATACTAAAATAATCTTCCATGCATGTGATTCTCTGTTAATTATAGGGCATTAAAGTACTTGAAAAGAATTTGAACTAGCTGGAATGTCGATCGCATTATAAAGCTAACCCTTACTTCATTAAGGTGAGCTAAAAAGGATACATCATTTCCATGATTTGTTACGACAATTGAAAAAAAAAATTCTGCACTTGAATTTAAGTTTGAAAATAGGATGATTTAATTTTTTTAAAAAATCATGAAAGAGGGGGTGGGGGTGGGGTGGGGTGGTCAGCTAATTACAAAGTCGAAGGATCATCTTTGTTATTTATAAGAACCAGTCTTCAGCAGTCCACAATTTGCTATCAGTTTTCTTTGTAGAAACTGATTTTGCTGAATACAGCGGAATCTTCCTGATCTGGTCACCAATTATCTGGAGGCTTTTATTCCAAGGATTTTTAAAGGAACAAAACATATAAAGATATCAGTAATCAATAATGAACCTTTAACTGGATCAATGGAAACCTCCTCAGGTCCAGCACAATAGCTTAAGTTAGCTATATAACTTGATTTACCTTAAATAATACTTTTAAAAAATCGGGAAAACAAAAAAAAACTTAACTAAAAATGGGGGGGGGGGAAACTCCCAGAGTTATCTGACAAGAAAAACTACCTCATTAACTTCCAATTCTGGGATTGGCTTTACAGCAATAAAAAGTGGGGGCATCTGAACGAACATCTACTGTAGCAAAATACTATACTCAGAAAAAGTAATAACCACCCCACCCTAGCCGCCCGTCCGCCACAGTTCTACTGGCCTAAACCTGCACCTACGCCAATCTGATTCAAATATAAGCTCTTTACAATAGCACAAAACGCACTTATCATTATTGTATAGATCTGTCA